ATATCCTATCCTCAAACTGTTAGAAGTGCTGGTCATTTACTTGCCATTCCAGTATTTATCTTATGTTTCACTCTTAGTGCTTCTTTGCTATCATGAAAACTTTTTCTTAGTTCAAAAAAAAAAAAAAAGTGAGAAATAAACTAATACACTGAAGAAAGTAAAAAAAAAAAAAGAATACTTAAAAAAAAACACCAAATTTGGTCAATCACTTGTCTCACAAGACCAAAATATATAGTTAGAATAAAAACTACTCATAGATTTGTTCTTACAGCAGTTGATGATACCTTTGGACTCTAACCACAACTCAAAACCCACTTAAAATTATGGTGCACATCAAGGTCTCAACAGATTTACTTACAGCTGGTTGGTCTTCTTTGGCCACACTTTCCTCATACTCTGCTTCCCTTTGCTGCCAAGAGACAGATTATCAGTTAACTTGAAGTAAAAATCATGGTCTCAGTGCAAAATGGAACAAGCCAGGGAGAAGCCTTTGCTTTCACAGCAATTCCCTCAGGACCTCCGTGTCTCTGCCTGACCTCCAAAATGGGGGACACTGCTCTTAGAAATATTTCCTAGAGGTTCTTGGGCCGGCACTGAATGCGGCCTGACTGCCCTAAGCATGAAGCTGCAGCTGGGAGAGCTTGGCAGTCAGCCACCCGCACATATAAAATGAAGCCAACCCTAAGTGCTTACCATCTCCCTTTCTTCCTCAAGAATAAGCGGCTCCCTTGTTCTCTCCCAGAGTCGTAGAGATTTGTCATGAGATGAGGACACCACATAGTCCCCACTGGGGCTCACAGCCAGACACCACACTTCCTGGTGGTGCCCCTGGAGAAGGAAACACCCAGAAACCCCAAGTAAGAGTAACAGCTTCATAGACCACTCCCCGCTTACATTAATAGGTGATATACGTGCTACTAAATCCAGCTCTTACACACTGAGCATGCAGAGCAGGCGAGAGCTCACCTCCAGAGTCTGTATGTGTTCAAATTTGTCTGCATCCCACTGCTTAATCTTACGATCTTTGCCGGCAGTGAAGAAGAGGTGTGACTTCGGTACGAACCGTAGGTACATCACACTGAAAGTGTTCAAAGTTGTCAAATTCCAGGTTAGTAAGAAGGAGCTTCCTACTAGCTGGATCTGGAGAGTTGGACTACACATTAGAACATCCTGCTGCTCACTACATAATGGACACAGGTGCTCCAGGAAACGGCACAAGTGACTCAGGGTGGCCTCTGAGGAGACTGTGCCTACCTGTCATCATGCGCGAAGAGAGACTTATGGCAGTCTCCAAAGTCCAAACCCCAGATCTTCACATTTCTGTCAGCAGAGCCGGTTGCTATTAGGGTTCCATCCTATGAGAAAGAGAAGCAAAAATTTATTCAGGATTTGAATTCTATAAATTACATTTTAAAAAAAAGCTAATCAGAATATTTAATTCATTTCAAAAATACTAATTTCATTTCTCTACCAAAAGCACTTAACTCTTCACTTTTACCTACAGCACTGCTAAAAAAAACCCAAAAAACAAAAAACAAAAAAAACGTGTCAGTCTCAGTAAGATCTCCTCGGCTCCAGGGTTCCCAGGCCACCACAGTGCAGGGATACGCACTCATGAAGATTACCTACTAGCTCTGTTAAACCGGAAACACAATCTCTTATCTCTGCCAGAACAGGACAAAAGAGGAAAGAACGAAAGTGGGATTCACTCTAGTAGAATATTTATGACTTGGCTTCTGTCCTGTGTTCCTCATCTCTGTTTCCTCAGATCTTCCCAATGTCAATGCCCAGTTCTAATAGCTTTGTTAGTGAACCAGTCCAGCAGTCACGGGGTCAGTTTTCTTTCCCTTTCACACAGGTAGACGCTGGTTTGTTTATTTATTGATTTGGTACAGGGTCTCACTATGGAGTTCGGACTTGCAGTGATCTTCCTGTCTCAGCCCACCCAGCGCTGGGATTACAGGCATGTACCACCTCGTCTGGTCTTAGTGGCCAGTTCAGCACGCCTGGGGTTCCAAAGCCAGCACAGCATGCGGTACTGGGGATCAAACCTGGGTCCTTGCGCTTGCCAGGCAGGTGCTTAGACTGTAAAGTTATCTCCCCAGCCCAGGCACTATCTTTAAACACATACTGTTACTTCTACTCATACACAGAAGAAAATGGCACTCTGGCCAACAACTGTATAGACAATGCAAACCATGACAAATACTCTAATAAAACTGAACTTCCTTCTCACCAGTATATCCTATAGTACAAAGGAGGAAGCTTTCGACTCTTTAATTTTTTTGGTACCAGGAATTCACTGGCACTTGCCAGGCAGGCACTTATAGTACGCAGCTATATCCCTGGTCTGAGGAGCCTTTTTAAAGTCTTTCATTTTTAGAGTGATTTACCAATTACAGAATTTTAGATACTATGATTTAGGAGAGTCACAATGATGAGTTACAAGGATTAACTGAGGGATCTGTGAAATTGCTCTGAAAACATTAAATATATTTAAGACATAATACATAATCCAGTCTACTACTTGTGGAGAAAGTCAGGTATACAAGAGGATGAAATTATCTGAAATGAAGGTATCAGGCCCAGCACTGAGAAAAATGTCAGTTTTATTCAAGATAACTTTTTTTTTTTTTTACATCTTATTTTAATGTAATAGTAGACACTTAAAAATATAAAAACAATCTTCACATCTACAAAAAGTTTAAAATAAGATAATGAGAATAACAATGGCAATATACAGTGTCCCATGATCTATCAATGGCTAAAATGTTACTCAGACTGCAAGCCAAGAGAAAAAGAGATTCTCCCTCACAAGGAAGAGATAACAGGACAAAACATTCTTTTCAATGAGAAAAAAAAAACAAAACAGTATAAATGAACAAATTAGTATCCATGTTAAAATACTTTTTGAACAACAGAATAATTTGCGGAATTATTTGAACGTTTCCCTACTTCGTATTTATCTTGTTACTGAGACACTGTTACAAGTTTTACTTACATAAGAGATGTCCATGCATATAACAGGCAGTTTGTGTCCATACAGTGAGAGAAAAAACTAAAGAGAAAAAAATACAGATAACTCGTATTTATCTAGAAAATATAGGTTTCATGTGGATCAAAAATACAAATGTAAATGTAATACTAAACCTATTTCTAGGCTGTGCTTTGTATTTTCAGAGGAGACCAGTTAAGATGCTCTGCGTCCGCCACGCGGGCCTGGCCTGCACCTACCAAGAGCACTGCAGTGGGAGCTAGGAGGTCCCGAGACCTGCTGCCTGCTAACTGATGACTCCGGAGCACTTGGTCGACAATACTCCCTGGCCCAATCTAGTCCTATGGACACTCTGGGCCTGGGACTTGGTAATTCGTATTTTTCTAAGGACCCCAAATGACTCTGAAGTCCAGCCCAGTGGAAATGCTGCATAGGCCCCCTCAAAAGCTCTTCAAAATACTGGCTCTAGCAGCATTTTCTGTTCACAAGATTTTCTGAACTACAACTTGCTTTACACAAAGTTTAGGAACCACGGAACTCTTTAAAAAATCCTCAGTTTCCCTAGTATATTGATGAGGTTTCTATTTATACACAAATTTACTGAGCACAGTAAGGCTACTTCTTTATAATCTCAACCCAAATTATTTTTTTTTTTTGTAGGTATGTTTTTGAGACAGTTTCTTTATGCAGTTCAAGCTAGCCTTAAACTTACTTCACAGCTCAGGCGATAGCCCTGAACTCCCAGACACCCTCTCACCTCAGCTTCCTAAATACTGGGATTACAGATATGGGCCCCATGCCCTGCCATTCAATCCAAATTCCTACAGCCAGTCAGGAAGAAAGAAAATACTTCCAGAGTACCTTCAAGGTGTCAATGTAGAAAATTTTCACAGTACAGTCCAACAAAGACACAGCCAACAGCTTTTGATTGGGAGAGTAACTGACACACAGGACATCCTCATCTAGTTGTAAGGTTCGAGTTTGCTTCACAGAAAGTCTAGAGCACAGCAACAAGAAAAAATATATATATATAGAAATAAGCATTCCACAAACCCATGGCAGAAAATTCCAAACTCAAGCACAACAGAGATACAAGTACTTCTCAAAAAAGGTCATTCAACAGCTCATTTTTACTCAAAAAAATGGACCACCTCCCTCCCCAAAAATACACCTCCTTACCTCTTTTGGGTACTATTTTCATCTTTTACCAATTCAAAGTCCCAGAACTTGACAGATTTATCTGCACCGCCTGTCACAAAGCCACGCTGAAAATTAAATGACGTTGTGATTAAAAGAAAAAAACTTTAGTACAGAAACCTTGCTAAGAAGCATGTCAAAGTATCTAAAAGACCATTTTTACTTGTAGAGGATCAGAATTAAGAGAAATGTGACTCTTCCTAACCTCTTCTACTGTTTTTTAGGGCATCACTTTTATAAACTCATTAGAGAATTTCCAGTAACACAGTAGTGATAACTAATGACAAATTCTATCCAGTGTGGCCAATGTCTCTAAAAATGTACCTTGATTTAGTGTAATTGTCTTATATGTTTTATATGGTTTTTGGCCTGTTACTCTGGTTGTTAACCTGTTTTTATAGTAATTAACTTGATAAAGACACAAGAAAAAGGCATGGAACAGAAGTGGGGAGAGAAGAACTGACATGCATTATATACCTGTACCAAGTCCCCAGAATGAAGTGTAAACACTATACACTGCAAGCATGTACTGGTAAAAAAAAAAAAAAAAAAAAATTCTAGTTATATTTTAAGAAGAAAAATCCTTCATGAACATTGTAGGGTATTTCTGTTTGCTTCACATAGGGCAACAGTCAAAAGAATTTGCTATAAAGGAAGACCACTAGTTTGAGACTAGATAGATGGATGACAGATAAGATAGACATGTGCATATATATAGGATAACTTCAATAAATTTGTTCAAAGTATTTACTTAAGGAGAGTATAAATTTATTGTTGTAATATCCCTGCTTAAAATATATTGGACACGTTTCACCAAGATCAAGAAAATCAGTCCCAGTACTTCAGAGGAGCAGCGCAAGGTACACAAAACAGACGCGTATGCCGGATCTCATCTGTCCTTGTAGCTTACTGAATTAAGCACAAGCAGCAACCATCCCACAATCCTTGGTTTTGTTGCAGTGAAACATTACAAAGTTTGTGGAAAATATAGAATATTCCCAGTACAAGGCTCTACTTCTGATTTAAATTCACAGTTGTTTTGATTCTACATGACATAAAAGTCTAGATTTATTTCTCTAAGAATACTATGTACTTTCTCAATGGATCACAGGTTTGCCACCACTGAGAATGTTGTAATGAATAGGCTGAAGCTCCTATGACATTGACAAAAAATGCTACAGGATCTTTAGAACTAGCAACATCATGAGAATACATACTGTTCTCTAGGATGGCTCTCACAAAGGGAAGCACATTATTCCTGACTTCTAAGGGCTGATATCATTCTTGAAAACACAAGACTTTATGGTCATAGATATTTGGAATAAAAGTGGAAAAATCTACTCAACTCAGTGCACTGTGTTGCTGAAGAGAACATCGCCTCTTAAAAATATCACAAACCACTGATTAATAAAGAAATCATAGGGCCAGCCTATGATTAGCTCAGCAGATTAAAGCACCTGCTTAGGCAGACACAGGGGCCAGGGTTCGATTCCCTAGCCTGCTGTGCTGGTGCTGGTGCTGGTCCCGCCCCCGTGGCACACTGAGACAGCAAATGAGACTGGGTGTGGTGGCACGCACCTGTAACCACAGTACTTAGGAGGCTGTAAACAGGAGGATCACTACAAGTTCGATCTATGCAGTGAAACCCTGTAGACCCTGTACTAAATACAAAAAAAAAAAAAAAAAAAAGAAATCATGAAGATAACAACTTGGTACCATGTTGATGATCAAAAGCAGCTGAACGGAATTCATTCTGGTTTCCATGGGGCAGATGAAATGGGGTCAAATGTAAAGTTTGAAGATTAGATATGTTACAAAGAACCTTTTCCAGGGAAGCACTTATTCCACTGAGCCATCTCCCTGGCCTTCAATCTAATTTTTGAAAGTACTAAAGTCTTCCATGTAGAGGTCTTTTATATCCTTTGTAACATTGATTACTAGGTGTTTCGTTTTTTGACTGCTGTTGTGAAGGGTGTTGTTTCCCTAATTTTCCTCTCAGTGAGTTTGTTGTTCATGTACAGGAAGGCTACTGAATTTCAAGTGTTGACTTTGTGGCCAGCTATACTACTGAATTTTTTAAATTAGGTCTAGCGAATTTTGGTGGAGTTTTGGGGGTGTTCTAATGTAGAGTGACATCTGCAAATAATGATAGTTTCATTTATTCCTTTTCCATTGTTGCTTCTTTTATTTCTTTCCCTTGTCTGTTGCTCTGGTTAGGGTTTCCGGGACTGTGTTGAATACAAGTGGAGACACGTACATCCTTATCTTGTTCTTGATTTTGGAGAGACAGCTTTCAGTTTCTGTCCATTTAATATGATGTTAGCTTTTGGTTTGTCATGGATGGCTTGTATCAGATTGAGATAAAGAACATTTATTCCAAAAAAAAAAAAAACACCTTTCTTATAGAAGCCCCAAGAAAAATCATTCTTAGGCAGCAGTTAACATGAGGACTGAGCACACAGCCAGAGTACTTAAAAACGTGCAAAAAGCACCAAAAGCAGCTCTACAAATCCAGCAGCTATGGTTCAGTTACCTGATCTGGAGAGAGAGACATGGACCACAAGGCTCCATCGTGCGCTTCAATGGTCTCCAGCAAATTCCCCGAGGCCAAGTCGTAGAGCTGTAATTTCCCTGTCTAGTGAGACACAACAGGCACACAACTCTAATGAGCACAACTCTAATTTCCAGGATTCATATCTATAGAATTTAGAAAAGATTTCATAATGAAGTACCAAGGACACAATCCACTGCTTAAGGAAATGGCTCCCACCCTCAGAATAAGCACTATTAAATCCTCCACTGCCAAGCTGAGCAGACCTTGGCAGGACTGCCATGCTCTACAACTATGCAGCCTACAGCCCTGTCACTTTCATTGATTCCACAGCTTTGAAAGGGAAGCATCACAGCCACGGGCAAGTCAAGACAAACAACAACAAATGCAAAATCCAGAACTTTTCCAGTCCTTTCACCAGAATACCCTCTCTATTGCTTAACCAATTCTTTTTTGGAGTTTTCATTTCCTCCTTCACAACACTTTGAAAATAAAAGGATCTGCCTTCAATGCGAAGGGCAATGAATCAGAACAGCCACGTTGTCATCCTACAATTGCATTCTGGCTATCCACGGTGTTGGCATGTAACATACATGCAGTGCCAAAGCCTAGCTGTGTGATGAGCTTCTGCACAGTGTGCTAGAACGAATGTGAGCCAAACGGGAGGCCTGGCCTGCTTACGTCATGACCTGGATCTCACATGGCACACAAAAGGCGCAGCTGCTGACAGACCTCAGGAGGGGACTGGACTGTGAGGGCTCTGTCGTCACCAAGGGATTCACTCACTGGTGAGATCGATGTGATGGCATTCCTGAGATGTGACGGAAACAGGAGGTGGGGCCGAGCTACAGGGGCAGATCATGAGCGCACCACCTTGGGGCCTAGATCTGGCCTTCTGGCTCCCCTGGCTCGCATTCTCTGTTTCCTGGCTAACACAGAAGTAGACGAGCATTGTTTCTCTGCTGTGCACTTCCTACACAATGTCTGTACTTTGCCAAGGTTTAAAAGCAACGGAGCCAGTTGACCACGGGCTGAAACCTCAGAAACTGTGAGCCCAAACAGACCTGTTCCGCAAGCAATTCCCACAATGATTTTCCAACAGAAAAGGGGGCATTCATGAAAAATGAGAAAAAAGAGCCTAACTCAAATATTAATACTGTGACCTTGACATTAATCCTCAAATCTTTCTAATATTTTCTACACTTTTTATTGGACAAGAAATAGCCACTGTGATCCACAGGATTTCTAATAAGTTTTCTGCAAATATAGCCTAGGTTTATGGAAATAATGACAAATCCTTGCAAAGCACTTTTCCAAACACTACAGATGACTCCAGTTTATTCTCCAATTTATACTTTAATACCAGCTCTACTTCAGATCAGTTATTTATTCTGAGGGGGGCTGATATCTGTGGAGTCCTTTGCATATTTCATTCCTGTGAAGTGTGTTACTAGTATCACTCTTATCTGAGAAAACCAGGGTTAACAGAGTTAAGTGATGTGCTCAAAGGTCACAGTTACAAAATGGTAGAGCCAGGATTCCAATGTACCTGTGTATATGCCATATACCTGTTATACAGATGAACATTCTAAAAGGAGTGGTGAGGCTTGGTCCAAATTACTCATTTTATAAAGACAGAATCTGAAGTTTAATCCCATGCCTGCTCATGCCCAAATTGATCAGCAGCCAGCGATTAAGACTCGGTCAGTTTGGTTTTATTTGAATGTTTCTACCTGCTAAACATGGCATCAGATATTTGATATATTTTATCATTAATTTTAATATATAAGCAAATAAAACACTATTATATGCAGGTTTATAAAAATGTGCATAAAATGATCACAAAAATAATGGTAGTTGTATCATGGTCATGAATAATTATTTTTCACAATTTAACACTGCCTTAAAAGATATTAAGAAAGTAAGCTTAAAAAAAATTTATAAACAGGCAGGACCAGGAATATAGCTTACTGGTACAAGCACCTGCCTGGCAAGCACAAGGTTCTCAGTTCAATTCCCACTACCAAAAAACTCCCATTTTTAAAAGGGCAATGAACTATCATCTTCCTTTACATATTTAAAATAGGCTGAGAAGTAGCCAGATTTCTCAAACAACTTTTAAGATGTTGAGCAGAAATGCCTCAGAAATCCAAAAATGACATCCCAGTTTACCTTTGTTCCTATGATCACCTGCCTGTCACCAGGTACAAAGAACGAGCACAGCGCATATTCACAACTCATTGTCCGAATACACTGCAGTGTAGACCTAAGAGAAAAAAATACAGAACTCTTACATTAAGAGGCCCGCTTCCAATTCACGAAAGTCAGGGTATGCATTCCGACACCCGCTCAGCCACACAGAGGTATCAACACAAGGGGAAAGCCTTAGCATTTCTTAACTCAGACCCAATTACATGGAAGGAAAATACTACAGAGCACCAAATCTTATTTGCTCTGCATGTACCTCCTGATCCTAAGGAGCAAAAATCACACAAAAGCAAAATAGAAGTAGTATCAGCCAGACTTTTCAGGCTCTGATCATTACCAAGAAAACAGGTGAGCCTAAAGGACTGAAACTGAACTAGTCTGTCACTACATTTTCCTAGATATAAAGTTCATTTTATAGAACCATAAACATTCAGCCATTCAACAAATACAGTTATGTGCTGTACAACAATGCTTTGGTCTCAATAATGGGCCAAATTTATGATGGTCTCAGACTACACTGGGATTGAAAATGTCCTATCACTAGTGATACTATGGGGGCTGTACCACTAGCATCCACACACCCATTGCTTTGTCAGTTAAAGTACAAAACACACCAGTATGTATGGTACATATTACCTGATAATAGTGAACAACTATGCTACCAATTTGGATGTTCATAATACTAGAGTTCTGATTAGAGGGTATTCTAGTTATAAAAAAATGTCTACTGCAAAACAGAATGCCATGTTAACTTGGCTGCATCCAATACACCTCCCGTGACCACTTCCCTGCAGCAAGAAGTCACGACAGGTGACTAACCTATGCTACACAGGTTTAGGTAGGTACACACAATCATGTGCACACAATGCAGAAGTCACTTAACAGTGCATTGCTTAGCATGCTGCCTTTCTAGTAAGTGATGGCATGATGGCATACATCAAACGCTTGGCTGCATCCAACATTTACTAAATGCCAACAACATGCGAGGTACTATATGCCAAGTGCTAGGGATACAGAAGTGGAAACTTCTGTGAAGGTTAAGAGGTCCTTACCTTCACACAGCTTAACATGCTTTGGCAGTGATAAACATAAATATTTGACATTAGATGATAGTGGGTGCTATGGAGAAAGTATGTTGGGCAGAGAATGAAAGAGCAAGAATAGGGACAACAGGATGGTTATTCATAAAAAGGGCTTTTTATTTCATAAAAAGGCAGGAAAAGCCTGTGGACATCTAGGGAAACATGGTTTCAGACAGAACAAAAGAACATAAGGCAAGCACATTTCGTTGTGATTAAGGGATAACAAGCAGGCCAGTGCAATGCTGGTGGAACTGGAGTGCAGAGGAGTAAGAGGCAAGGTCTGTTAAGGCTTTTGCTCTGCAAAATGAGATGAAATATTGGACAGTAACTAACCGCTGTGCTGACCAAAGGAACAGGGAGAAGAGTCAGGAGCCACAGCCACAGCGCAGGTCAGATGAGGGTGCTGGGAACTCAGGTGTGCTAGACTAGAACAGCTTTGAAAGGTAGAGCTCTTTGAGTTTGCTAATAGACTGAATGGATATGGGATATGAGAAAGGATTAAGAGTGGCGACAAGGCTTTGGGCTAGAACCCTGGGAGGAAGTGAACTGTGGATGCCTAAACGACAGCAGAGAGGTGATATGAAGGGTTTGGATATACAAATCTGATGTTTAGAGAGGCTAGTATGAGACATAGAACTGTGTGTCATGAAATAGAGAATGCTACATGACCAGCAAACACAGCATCAGTTTATAGAGTGCTTGCTTCGGCAGCACGTACGCTAAAACTGAAACAATGCAGAGAAGATTCGGAAACAACCCAAATGCCCATCAACTGAGGAATGGATAAAAAAGATGTGGTGTTTTTATATAAGAGAGTACTACTCAGCTATAAAAAAAGATAAACTCAAGGCTTTTATAGGTAAATTTATAGGTAAATGGATGCAACTAGAAACTACACTCATGAGTGAAATGTCAGTGGCACATGCGTAAACATCATATTGTCTCCCTAGTGCAAGAGCCTGAAAGAGTAAATAAGATCTAAAATGTACAACAGATACTGTGAAAGGGAAAGGAACTGCTAGGGAAAGGAGAAAAGAAGCAGGGAAAATACACACATACACACGATAGCTAAGATAATGGTACTACTAATTTCTATTTTTATTTTACTGAAAGGAACAGCTAATGTTTAATTTTTTTTATTTGACCAATTTTACATGCTTATATCTAGTAATCTGAACAACTATTTTGAAGAAAAAAAATATGCAGTATAAGAACCATTGTTGATTTCCCTTCATCTTGTTTTGAAATTTTGTATTGCTTTTAATGTTTTTTTCTATTTGCTTTGAAACGAAAAAAAAAAAAAAGTTTAGCTAGAGAAAATTTGAAAGAGTGCCCTGAAGCCCTCCCAAAGACTGAGAAAAGACAACAGGCAGAGGAAAGGGACATAATAAAAGTTTCAGAGAGGACAAAGTTACCCATCCAAAGAGAAAAAAATCAAATGAACCTTATAAATTGCTGGATTCAGAAACATGATCACTGATAGGATGGCAGCTATTTTAGTGAAATAGGAAGGATAAAAGACTCAAAGCAGACGGAGGAAAACAGAATGTAGACAGGAATTGGAGAAGGGGTGAGTAACTGGAGAAGGACGAAGGGACGAATGAGGGTCATTTATTTTCATACAGGAAATAGCAGGGCACATGTTCAGGGGGAGAAGAATGATCCAAAAGAGAAGAAATTAAAGTAGGAGAAACAAAAATTTCTAGAAAAAGGAGAAAGGACCTCATAGATAAGATGCGCTCAGTTTCGTTAGGAGGAGCAAGATAGCAATAGGGAGAGACAATGACAGGGACAGAGACACAACCAAATTGTGTATAATGATAGCAGTAAGAGTGTTCTTCTAGGTGTTTCCATTTTTCAGTGATACAGGAATAAAGGTTATCATCTTAAAGGTGGCAGAAGTTTCTGACAATTGAGAAAGGTATAAAATAGTCACCAATAGAAAAAAAAAAGTAGAAAATAAAAAGCACGGAAGAATCAACATAATTTTGAAAAGTAGACAATAGGTTCTTGTTTTTGTCTAGCCAATAGTAGCTACAAAGTTTCAGATGGAAAAAAGCTTGTGCTTTTTGTATCCAACTTATAGATATATTTTATTTTATTCTGAGACCCACAAGCCAAAGAACACACTGAACATATACTTTTAGAGAAATGTATGTAGGATCTTTTTTTTTTTTTGGTGGAACCGGGGACTGAACTCAAGCCCTTGCGCTTGCCAGGCAGGTGCTTATTCTACTGAGCCATCTCCCCGGCTCCTGTATGTAGGATCTTAAGAAGCTAATTATCAACCACCCAAAGTACCAAAAACATTATTCAAAGGAAAGGAAATTTCACTGGATGAAACTATAGGAAGCATCGCTTCACAAACCTGTTCCATATCTTAATGGCATCAGCTGCGGCTGAAAGAACAGCAATATTGTCTGAGCTGAAGGACAAGGTCCGCACGTCACTGCGATGGCCCCCGAGGGTGATCCTGCCAGTCCTGACCGGCTGGGGAGCAGGCAAGCATGCGCTGAGTGAATACAATTCCACCAGGTTGTTTTGGAGCAGGAAGACAGCCTTTAACTCTCCTTGAGGTGAGTAGATCAAGTCAAAGGATCTGCATGGGAAAATAGCCATCAATATTCCTGCTACCCAGGTACATCCTTTAGTGCTTTCTAGAAGACTCTGGGAGGCTCTCGATCTATACGACATTTGAACATGTGCAAGCACTTAACAAGAGTGCACTGGGTCTTAGGGGTAGTCCTGTACAGACTTTTGAGTCCAAAAAACATCCTTGATTCAGTCCACAGTATTGTTAAATACAGACTTTTAAGTCAAAGTACCTGGGGTCATTACTGACTTACATCTTGTTTCTGTGTATAAATATTTTAAAATGACTGCAAATGCTTCCTGAGCATGGGATATACTTTTTTTTTTTTTTTTTAACTGGCAGCAGGAAAGGACCATAAAAAGTGAGTAAGTGGGGCCAGGCTGAAGGTCAGAGGAACACTGTGACATGGGCATCTTGTGATTGTCATCTCCAAGTTCATAATCCATATAGACACCTGGCAATTACATGAAGAACCATAATACTTTATAACTTACTATTCATTTTTGAGCCTTGCTATGTAGTTCAGGCGGGCCTTGAATTCACTATGGAGCTCATGTTGGCTTCAAATTCCTAGTGATCCTCCTGCTTCTGCCTCCTAAGTTCGGGGATTGCAGGTGTGTGCGACCACACCCAGCTATAACGTACTGTTCTTATAAAAACTTCAGATACTACATTTTTGCTTACTTGATTTTGGCAGAAGTTTTGATGTTAGCTACTCTCTGGATTTCATCTTGCAGAGTCATTTCAACATTGATTTCAAGGTCCTCCTCTTCTCCTTTGCAAGAGTTTAACCTAGGGAAAACAGAAGAGAAGTACCAACCTAACACTTTTCTCCAATCCAAAATCCAGTCCCATGATGCACAAGGAATGTGGTTCTTAGATAGTTATTTCACCATATAGGATAACTATTAATAAGCCTTTGTAATTCAAATTATTCCACTCGAAAGTTTCTAATACACTTTTCAAATTCTAGGACTTTGTACATAAATTTCGCACTTCATCCATTCACAGTAAATGAATCAGGGCAGGTCTCCAAAGATCTGCTAACTCAGAAGCCATTATATCTTTCTGACACTTGATAAATTCCAACCATTAAAACATGGATTGCCAGGGCTGGGGAGATGGCTCAGTAGAATAAGTGCTTGCCTGGCAAGTACAAGGGCCTGAGTTCAATCTCCGGTTCCACCAAAAAAAAAAAAAACAAAAAAAAAAAACAAAAAAGGATTGCCAAGTGTGGTGGTACACGCCTGCAGTCCTAGCTGTTCAGGCAAGACTGGGCAGTGCAGGGCGGTATGTCCAGAGAAAGTCCTTACTATTCAAAAGGCTAGAGGAGGATGGCAAGTTCCAGGCCAGCCTAGGGAACATGCTGAGACTGCATGTCAAAATTAAAATAAATAAATCAATAACCTTCAAGAGCTAGAGGTGCAGCTCAGTGGGAAAGCACTTGTGTAGCATGCAAAAGGACCTGGGTATGGCTAGAATGACCTATTTCAAGGTTACACTGCTCTAAGCTTTAGGTACATTCCAGTCTTTCTTCTCAGTCTTAAAGACTACAATTATGCAACTAAGCTTTCTTCCTTTATAAGCCGCTGCAATTAAAGGCATGATGGTAGCCTTTGAGAGTTAAATAGCTTAGAAACTATTTTTAAAAATCTGCACATCCTTCTAGCTCTGTGTAGGCCTGAGTCTAAGACACCAAAATGTGTCAGTTATGAGAATGTGCCAAAAACCAGAAATTCAAACATGAACTGAGATCCAAAAATTTTTAACAATTGGTTGTACTAGTTGATACACTGTGTCAACTTAAGAAGTTCAGAAGTTTAATTAAGTGACTCAGTAGGAAGCCAGGGTTCTTACTTTGTAAACATCCTCTTCCAGTGTAAGAGGAGGGCAGCAGTTCATGGTGGTAGAAAACAGCAAAGAGCAAAGGAGGCAGCAGTTCATGGTGGTAGAAAACAGCAAAGAGCAAAGGAAGAGAGGCAGCTGCTGCAGCTCCTCTCTTTGCTGTTTGCTGTCTTCTACCATCATGAACAGTTGCTCTCTGCTACATGCCGCTCTGTCTTGGAGCCAGCTGAGTATGGACTGAAATGTCCACTAACTGAGCTAAATCAACCTTCCTTCCTTAATTTTGGGTGTCAGTTATCTCGTCCCAGCAACAAGTGAAAAATAACCAAGACACTGGTAATAGGGTAAATATTTTCTTAAGGAAGCCAACAGATTTTCTCAATGGTATACAGCCTACCCAGGATACTTCATTGATAGATAGAAAACATACCTCGCTTTCTTCCTAGCTTTCTTCATTTTCTTATCCATTTTCTTTTGAACTTCCTCTTTGGAAAGAATACAAAACACTTCTAACACAGAATCAGTTCCCTGGAAAGGCAAAAGGCTGATGAAATCCAAAAGAGGCAGCGTGTAGTTTTGCTTATGTGCAGTAAGATCTAAACAGTAACACTTGCTTTTCTTCCCTCCCTCACGTTATTACCCTGAACCTCTTAATCTACGCTGCCTTAGCTGTAAAAAAAATTATCATGTCCTGCTTACAGCACTGTTCTGAAGAGTAAATAAGACCTGTATACTTTTATATTGCTTGGAAAATCCAGAATTTAAGAATAAAAGTAACTATATTACTCTCAAGCTACTATGAACTAGGGATTTGATACATATACAATATCACATATGAGTTATTAATATGATAAAAAAGATCTGTCACTATACTGAATATAAAACAGGAATCCTATTCTCAAAAGGAACAGCCCAGTCTCTATCCTTTTTCCCTACGCCAGGTACTCACGTGGCAAGCAAGAATCCTGCCTGTCTTGTCAACTGCAAGGTTCACAACCCTGTCCCTTCCTTCCCGAATTATGGAGCCAGCTTTTCTGCATGAAAGGATGCGCTACACCAAAGGAACAAAAGACAAAGTTTAAATGTCAGTTATGCTGAATTTCTGGAAGCATGTGAGTCTCACAAACGCAGCTGACAAAAACATTCCCTAAGTGATGACAAGAATTACAAATTTAATTTTGTTGCTAAAGTAAGAAAAAGGGAGTTACATCCTCAGGTGTCTCGTCCATCTCAGGAGCACCGTCTTCTGCTGCAGGTGCGGCCTGTGCGCCAGGAGACCCTCTGACTTTTTTGTGCTCTGGTTCTTCCAGGTCTTCAATCTGTTTCATAAAAATGGGAAAATAAAAGATGAAATAATGTGCTTCAGGATATGATTGTTCTTTTTTTTTCTTTGGCAGTACCTGAGATCGAACTCAGGACTTTGCGCTTGTCAGGCAGGCGCTTATGCCAGTGAGCTAGATCTCCGGCCAGGATAAGATTCTTAAGTTAATTATTTAGAAGAATCTCCTGTGACAACTAATAGCTTGATTAGAGAGCTTTCTCATCTAAACCTCTTCAACAGCAGGACAACTTACTATGTTTATAGCAAATTACTTATTAGACTATCTCCAGGAACTTTTATAGTATAAAAGCTACAATTTAATAAACAATAGTATAAAGCTAATGATCCATTCCCCTCTAACTTCAAAACTTTCTCTATTCCTAGGTGAAGGTTTACCATTATCTAGAGGAAAAGATTCAAATAGGCATTAGAAATCACAAAGGCACTGCAAAACGGTTAGATTTTCTCCCTAGGCAAAAATAATCCCTATGCTATACGTAGGGTGCATCAAGATGGATTTACGGAGATAACACTGTATACCTAACTTGAGCTAACCCTAAAGTCTGTAACCTCTTACACCCAAATCAAATTCCCTGAGTCTCTGAGAAATAACTATAAATCTCAGGATATACACATTTATAAAAACATAAATTCTACATAGAATTTTGTGAGAAAACGTTACAAAATCCTTCGCAATCTATGAATAGCTACAGGTGCAGAAATAACAGGGCAAGAATACTATAAATATTAACCATCGCAGAAGCTGTAGGCCTAAAGATATCCTACTTAGGGGCTTACATAATTAAGGGCAGTGAGCACATAATGAAGAAAAATCTTTGTAAGTTTCAGGTTATCAGTGTGATAGAATTTCTTCTTGCACCATGTGAAGATGTCAGTAACTATATCTAATTCTAAATTCAGTGAGCCAACAAAACTGCAAAAATGTGACATTGCCCAAGATCCAAACAATTACCTCTTTCAGGTAGTCAACATCCCAGGCCCTCAGCTCACTGTCTGAAGCCCCCGTGATGAGTCGCTTTTCTTCTGACACCAGGACGAGCCCCCAAACCTACAGAGCAAGACAGGATGACACTATTTTGGAGATTCCAGATTGTGTAATATGACACTGCAAATCCCAACTATTCTACAGTAAAATCTCTTTGAAATTTCAAAGTCTAAGAAAAGATACATAAAGCCAAACCTTTCAAAAATATACCGAGAGAAATATCACCTTTACAGAAAGCAGGCAATTGCTTGTAATGGACTCAACACTTAGTGATACCAGGAGTTACCCAGGAACCCATTATTGTCAAATTTAGATAACAGCTGTTTAGCATAAATTCTAACTACAATCTACCTGGAAAAATATTCTAGTTCTGAAGAGATAGCTCAGTGATCTAAGCACCTGCCTGGCACATGCAAGGACCTGAGTTCAATCCCTGGTTCTGCCTGCTGTGCTGCTGTGCGGGCCCTGAAACCAGGCGTGGTGGCACACACTTGTAATCCCAGCGCTGGGGAGGCTGAGACAAGAAGATCACTACAAATCTGAGCTGTGTAGGAAACACTGTATCTAATACATAAGTAAAAATGATTTTTTAAAAAAATACTCTAGGTCTCATGTTTTTGCTTTCAGCAGTACCTAGCAAAAAAAAAAAGTGTCCCATTAATTATATACTTTTCAGCTTTAATATTTACACAGTAAAAATAACATTGCAAATAAGCGGCCAAAGGATTTAATATGCTTTTCTTCACTCATCCAGACTATATATATATAATTTTTTTTTTTAAATGTATTTGATTGCAGGGTCTCACTAGGCAGTCTGGACTCATAGTGATCCTCCTGCTTCAAGCCTCCCAGCGCTGGGATTATAGGCATGCACCACTACATGTGGATTCTGGCTGGCTCAGCTCACCCTGGGAGCAGGGCTGGCATGGCATGTGGTGCCAGGATTAAACCACAGTCTCTGCACTTGCCTAAGCAGGCGCTTCAGCCCACTGAGCTATCTTACCAGCCCCTGACAGTGTGTTTTTGAAGGCCCAATATAAACAGAATACTGAGGTGGTTGCAAAGGTATGTACACTATTCCATGAACTGGACTATAGAGATCTCTGCTCAGGCAACCCTGACAGCTATACGTCAGGGTTTATGTGTCCTGCGTACAAGTCCTACACAACACTGTTAAATCCCTCTACAATTAAAACTTAGGACACTCATAGCCTAAAAGCTCTTCAGGGCCAATTTTTATTAAGTGCTCTGATAGCTAGCATTTCTTTCATCAAACAAATCGTTTTGTTTCTGAAGACAGCATATAATGAAAAGCCCTGAGGGCTGGAGAAGAAAATCATCTCTGTCTTGGGATTCCATGGCCTTCCACATATACCTCAGCTCGGTGGCCAGTCATTGTTTTGAAACAGTGCTGGGTATCCAGGTCCCACCACTTCACCATCGTGTCTTTTCCACTACAAGGAGAAACAGAGAAAGACAGATAAAAGCTTATTTATTAAGACTCATTACTGACAGGGAGATAAGAGACTCATTTGTTGCTTTTGAAAGGTGATATACTAAACAGCAGTAATGTCCATAGCTACTACTGTACCTACCTCCCTTCTGTGAGCAAAGCATCCTAACTCTTTTGGTGATGATAATGTAGGCATTTCTCCCGCAAGCACAAAAATGCTCTGAATTCTGGGTACTGAAGAACACAGAACTTGATATATCACCAAGAAGAGCTTGGCAACATGGTGTCTGCTTGGCAAGTGTGAGGTTCTGAGTTCGATTCTCGGTACAAAACACACTTGCTATATCATGCCCCCACCCATCATCTCCACTGTACCGTCTAAACATGGAACCTTCCTAGACTTCCCCTTTCCTTAGCTCCTGTGTCCAGGCAGTCTCCATGTCCTAACTAGGTCTACTCTATAAAGTCTCTAAATGTTGACTCCTTCTAATCCACGTCATTACAAAAACCTGAATTTAAGCCCCTCTGTCTGCGTTATGTTAACAGCTTCTCATCTGCTCTGTTTGTCTTATTGGTTTCTCTTCCTATTAAATACATCATTATTAGGTAATCTTCACTTTTAAAATTTATACCAGCTATCTGTAGAATCAAAGTCAGGCTGTTTGCCACTGTTCTCAATACCTATTAATCAGCTCGTAGTGCCCTTGTGCAATTTTCCCACCAATTTGTTCTCCTCTTCTTGTCTAGAGGCCTTTTTCTCTATCCCTTGATGAGTACAAATCTGACAATTGGATTTCATGACCACAGTGGAAAAAATCCTCCATCAAAAACCTGACTTACAAAGCTCATCCCCAAAGCCCACCTCACGGTGCCACTTCTTTCTCTTTACATTCCCTGTATTATATACATTTCCTGTTAGAAATTACAGAATCAGTCGCTCACAGCAACCATATTATGTGAACAACACACAAAATGTATCTGCATCCTATCTGGTGGAAACAAGTCTATCACTGAGGCAGCATATAACTTTCTATTTTTATTTTTTATGTATTTAGGACAGAGTCTACAGGGTCTACGGGGTCTCATACATACACAGACTGGACTTGTAGTGATCCTCCTGTTTTCAGCCTCCCAAGCAATGGAATTACAGGCGCACACCACTACGCGCAGTCTCCATCACCAGCTCAGCACACCCCGGGGATGGGGCTGGCACAGCACACTAGGGCTCGATTCCCAGTCCCTGCATCTGCCTAAGTAGGCGCTTTAACTTGCTGAGCTCTCTGGCTGGCCCTTGCACTATGACTTCTTATGCATCATTACCATGATTCTTCTATCGCCTGACATAGCTTGGCATCTCAGCCTTTCCTTGATGACCATTCCTTGAGAATAGTAATTATTCCATAGGAATTTTGATTTACAAAAAACGGCAACTGCAAATGATTAAGTTACAACTATTCAGATAGCCTATGGAGTATATTGCTCCTCAAACGGCACGGAAAATCAAACACCTGGTATTCGTATCTGCACAGTCCTCCATCTTCTGCTTTCCTAAATGTGTAGGGATAGAGCAGACACTTAATAAAAGGTATATTAAAGGCTAAGGAACCTGGAAAAAATATCAGAAGAAATAAATGACAAAAGTGACAAGGGAATTTAAAAAATGCCTCACCTAATTCTGCGTAGCTTTACGATGCTATGTAGAAGGGGAGGTATTACAGCTTGTATCTAGATGTACCCCAACCCACCCCCAAAGCTCTATGCAGTCATAGATGAGGCTTTTCAGAGGTGGCTGGATCTGGGGTGTGTGATGACCAAATCAGGCCAGTGACTGGCTTGGCGCCGTTCTGGGTGTGGACAATGGGAAGCCCCAGCCTGAGAGTGGGTGGCACTGCCCAAGGGTGGGTAGCCTGAGAGGAGGAGGCAGGCTGCGGCTGCTTGCTGCCTTCTGCCCCCAAGGAGCTGTTTCTGCTCCGAGGTGTGCTTTCTGTCATGCCCCCTGCCTGGAGGCAGCCACCAGTGGTCAGGAACACCTATAATTGGTGAGCTAAACAACCCTTTCCTCCTTTAACTCTGGGTGTCAAGGTATTTTGTCTCAGCAACAAGAAAAATTAAGACAGGGATGAGAGAAGGGCTCAGAAAGCAACTGAGGAAGCTAACATTAAGCATTAACACAGAAGGGAGAAAGGAGGGAAAAATGCAACAAATGTTCTCTTTCAAGTCCTCTCCTATGAATTTGCCTGAAAAAAAAGAACTTAAACCTTAATTTTGTTTTACCTAGTAACTAGCAGATTCTTTTCTCGCAGAAACAGGGCCTGTGTGATGGCATCCTTGTGCCCCTTCAATCGGTAGAGGCCACTCTCATTGATCACATCCCATACAATAACATCGGTATCCTAAGGGTGCAAAATAATACAGAAGGTAACTGTTTCTTTACCATAAAAGACCTGACTTGTCAGAAAATGAGATTGAATTATTATACAGGCAATCCACAGTCCTGGTGGAAAATTTAGAAAGCACACAAAAAGTAGAGGCATTATCCTTAATCCTCCATCTAGCAATCACCAGCAGATACTTTGTTTTTTGTTATTGCAGTCCAGATTGTTATTTTCCTATTAGAAATCAGAGATCATGCTACTTGTATCAGCTTATCACTCACTTTTTAAGTTCAGTATTTTTCCATTTCGCCATGACATTGTAGAGTACCTTCAATTTTCAATGCTCACATAATTATAATACCGATACATCATAATTTAAATTGGTTAAATTTGAGATACTTCGTTTCCAATTTTTTGCTACTATAAATATGCAGGAAAAAAACATTCTTATATATAATTGTATATGTATCTGGGTTAGAATACTAAAATGAGAAATTCTTAGGTTAACAGGTCTTTTTAAGTTTTTGATTTCTTCGATCTTCTCTGGGTTGTATCAAGCTACCATCAAAAACAGGATGACCAGCCAAGTCTGCCACTGGCTCAACTTTTGGTATCAACTCCAGTGCTATCTTTGAAGTCCTTTTCTACCTCAATAACAGATAATGCACATTTTCTAGTTTATTTAAATTATTACTTTTGCATCTGTAAGACTCTAATCTGAGACTCATTTTGGCATATGGAACCAGATAAAATTAATTAAAAATTATATCTTAAAACAGCTAGTTTTCTAAATACTATTTTATAAGTAGTATACCATTTTCATAATTATAAGAAATGCCACCTTAAAAATTTAATAATTAGCTAAATAAACTATGTTTCACAGATTTCTATTTCATTGTAATAATCTACTGTGTTACACTGGTACTAAATGCATCAATATAATTATCATCAAATGCATTTTATTTGTATTTATTTATTTATTTTTTGTATTTGGTAGAGGGTGTTATTACACAGCTTGGACTCACAGTGATCCTCCTGGCTCAGCCTCCCCAGCACTAGGATCACAGGGGTGCGCCACTACGCCCTGTCTCAGTGGCTGGCTCAGTGTGCCAAGGGGCGGGGCCGGCACAGCACGTGGTGGAGCGGATCGAACCCCAGTCCCAGTGATTGCCAGGCACACACTTAGTCTACTGAGCTATGGAGCCAGCCCTACAATGCATTTTAATATCTAAGATCTTCCTGTTACCATCTTTCTTTCCCCAAATTTGGTGTTTCCAATTCATCTGCTTTCCATAGATACTTTAAAATCATTTGGTTAAGTTCTAAATAACAAAAACTTTCAGATGTTTAAATTGCTTTAGATACACAAATTTAAAAACACTACCACTTTTCAGTATTTTGTCTTCCCATTCAAAAACACGGAATTGTATCATTACGAAAGTAGTTTATTACATTCTTCAGGAGCTTCACGGTATTTTCTGTTACTTAACATTTTATTGTGAATGGCATCCTTTGCACTTTACTTTCTGGCTCATAATTCTTGAGATACAAGAGCTATAAGTAAAAAGCTATCATATTTTCTTATTGTCAGTCTTTCTTACTTTCTTTCTCGTTTTACTGTTTTGCATGGCACTTCTACAATGACATCCTGTCATAGTTACCAGGCACCTCTTTGTCCTATTCCTCTATTTCATAGATTTTCATCAGAATATATGATAGGAAACCAAATAATCCTCTCAATTCAGACCCACCCACATCATATTATTTATACCAGCAACTAAGTGTTTTGTTTTTTTTTTTTGTGGAACCGGGGATTGAACTCAGATCCTTGCATTTGCCAGTCAAGTGCTTATCCTACTGAGCCATCTCCCCGGCCCAGCTAAGTGTTTTGAATGCTGAGACCCTTAGTTTCGTCCAATACTTCTGTGCACAATCTGCTTCAGCCTCAGCCTGAAGGCTCCTTTCATGTACCAGTCTGGGCACCTGTATCAAAGTCTCACCTTGGAGCCAGAAGCCAGTCTTCCTCCCAGATGATCATACTTCAAAGTAGTGATGGCTGCTTTGTGGCCATTGAAGGTCACATGTCCTTCCCCACTCAGAAGACTAAAGATTCGGATACACCCGTCCTCATAGCCTACGGCTAAGTGCAACCCATCTGGAGAAGGGCACAGGCAGGTGACTTCTTGTTTAAGACCTTGAAGGATGAGGATCTGAAATGCAAAGAATCAAAAACAGTCTGGGGAAGCCAAGCACATAACCAGGAGAAAAGTGTAGGAATAATCAGGACCGGTAAACTTGAGAACATCAGTAATTCCAAATCACTCTTACAATCCTTTTATGAGTCCTTTAATACAGGAATCATTACCTGTACAATCAAATACTCAAGGAAAGATAAGATTATTTTTCTCGAAGCGCTACAATGGCACAATACACGCAGGCAATAAAATAAACTACTAGCATGTTATCCTACGCCTGTTATCAAATGATTTTTCAAGGAAGGGTTGTAAAGCCGTCCTTACTTAACTAGGCCCCATTTCATGAGAAACTGCTTTGCACAGCATGGAGTTCTGCAGTGGTTCTGTCTCCAAGGTGCTCTGGGTGGCAACAGCATGAAATATCGCTGTCACACAGTTAATGGACGAGAATAAAATCCCAGTTTGGCAGAGGCGATGGGCTAGAGGAAGTCAGAAAGCCGAGAGGTAGCTTAACAACGCCTATGCTTCATCGTACTAGTAAGAAAGAGTCCATCAACAGGGTAACTACCTTTTTAAAATGTCTAATGTTTTATATCTCACTGTGAAAACCAGTAAAAAAAAAAAAAGAAAAAGAAATGGTAGGTAAAGTAGACTGATATCAAAAATAAAGTTAGGAATTTTGAGAATTTGGTGGAAAAAAATCCAGAAATCGATGCTCAGCTATCTAGAGCCAAAGAAAGATTTCTAAGGATACACCCACACAATGTTCAATGCGTGATAAACACACTGGAGTGCACTCATTTCTGTCTTTCCACCTTCAAGCACCCATAAATCAGCCCTGATGACTATGACTCACCTTCTCTCCTTTCCGTAAGTCCCAGATGAAAACATGTTCACAGGCTGGCGCTGCCACGTAACGGCCTTTCTCGCCACGAAGTGTCACAAAGACGATGTTCCCTTTCTGGCTGCCAATCAGGCCAAAGACTGCACTAGCCACGTAGCGCAGGTACTGCTTGGTGAGCCCCATGTCACGACGGCTGATACCACAGGTGAGGCAACCTGTGCACGTAAACAGAACTTAGCTCCTCTACACTGGTTGGCTAGGTTAGTGCACACCCACCTGTTGATCATGTAATTAAAAGCACGGAGCTTCTTAACCTTTCCTTACTCTGCACAAATCAATGACCTAAAATACCAGAACATCTTCATGTTTTAAAAATTCACCACTGCTTGTCATTTGTCAAGTTTCATGTCACTTCATATTTGTCAAATTTCAAATTGGTCAGACTGCTATAAACATCTTGTGGATATCTGTCATAAAAGCCCCAATGCAGCTGAACAATTGGTTGCTCATTGAATCGCCAACAGTTTTTGTACTGAGAATGGCACCATGAGACTGAACATATCAGTAAACGTTTATGGTAAACCTACTATTTAGACAAGTGCTTTGTAGACTTAAGAGATATGACATGGGTAAGAACAGCGACATTACGGCATTCTCCTGTCGAGCACAGTGCTTCTTAAACTGCAGTGTATGCCCACGTTCCCTGCAGGTCTTAATGGAAACACTGCTGGAAAGCAGCTTGCTTCATCTCCTGGTACTAGATTTGATTCAGTAGGTCCCGGGTGGGAACTAAAATTCTACATTTCATGCAAGCTCTCAAATGTTGCTGCTACTGTGGTTTCTGGTTCATACTGTGAAAATCAGTGGGGTGTTTTTTTGGTTTTTGTTTTTTTTTTTTGGCAGAACCGGGGATTGAACTCAGGCCCTTGTGCTTGCCAGACAAGTGCTTATTCTACGGAGCCATCGCCCCAGCCCCTGTCAAAATTATTGTTACATGGAGGTATAGCCTTTATTTCAAAATCAGAGTAACCAGTCACCACCTCCTGACAAACTAAAAGGACAGATATACTTGGGATCCTGTTTTTCAAAGATGTCATACTTCTGTATTATATCAAATTCCGGTTATGAATAGAAAGCACAAGAAGTGAAGGAAACAAACCAATCCTGTCTATTCTCATAGAAAGAGTGAAAAATATCACTCAAAACACACAACTTAAACAAGAATGCCAAAGTTACAGTTTTCCTTGTACAGTGTTTCTTTTTATTGGGTTTCTCCACTGGGTTGAACTCGATAGGTTTTCTCTCTGATTATAATCAACTTTAAAATATTCAATCCCAACTCATGCTAACATTCCCTGCTAATAATCACTGATGGGCCTCGATATTTTTCTCACAGGAACCATTCTAAAGGCAGTTAAAATTCAAGGAAGGTTAATATTAACACGGTGATAATGCTCTTAGTCTAGGACATCTGATTAATTTTTCAGTTTTCTTCTCCCAGTCTTGTAACTGTGCTTGTTTCTTCCATTAGTCTTTGGACATCTACCTTTGGACATCTGCTCCAGTATTTTCTGCAGAAAATTCACACATCATGCCTAGGCCCAGGGACTCTGATATCTCTATTTCTAGCCCTCTTCATCTACATAAATACTAATCATACAGCCCAAATACTTCCTATCCCTTTGAATACTTTACAGTAACATTTAACCTGTTTGCAGCGAAACCAACCTAACCTCCTAACCTCCTCTCACACTTTCTGGTGCTAAGATACAGAATCTCCTCAGCTATCTAGGCTCTATTAACCTTTAGCTCATTAATAAAATCACAGCATCCAAGGCTTATTGTACATAAGATACAGGAACTGATACATTACAGGCATCACAGTGCTTAGGATACTGTAAACATTAAGTATAAAAACACTCCACACAACAAGGGTATTTTTCTTATCTTCACAAAGATCCTAGATGATCCTAAGTCTTTCAGGCAGTCAACCCCAATGCCAGATTCGAATCCAGCCCATGTAACTCCAAAGCCTCTAAAATTGCTTCTTTGTTCTCTTGTACCTGTCAAGTCTACCTGTTGCTCTTTTGACTACTTTCAGTTCCAGCTCTTATCGCCGGGTTACTACATTAGATTTCCACCTAAGATCTCCACGTTTCTTCCTTAATCCTTTTCAAAACCACTGTCCTTACCGCAAGCCCTTCATAAAAGGGCTAAATCGCCTGTCAGTTTCTAGAAAGTCATCCCATCTATCCCTCTGTTTCTCAGATAACTTCTCCGCTCTCCCTAATCACCGTCCTTACCCTGTAACCCTGACTTCGGCGCGCTATTCTCTCGCCCATAACAACACGCATAAAATAACATCCACTCATCTATTTTAAGGTGTCGTTGTCTGAGAACCACGTCTTTACCAGCAAGCCCAGTTCTGCTGCGTTGTTGTCTCAGCCTTCACACCACTTCCCTTACAACCGGGCACTGGGCACTTCCGTTTCCCACGCACAGTTCTCTCCTTCTGCAGACAGTTTGCGACCTAATCCTCCAGACTCCACCATCACCGCTTCTAAATTCAAGGTCCCTCCAAACATGTCAGTTCCACAAGGCACGGATGCCCTGGACCGTGGTAACGGACCTGTCACACGTCCCTAAAGCAAGTCTTCGGTCAGGAGAACGCGCGGGGTTCCTGCACACCGCACACACTGCCGAGCATCCTCAGGCGACCCGGTCCACACGAACAATCGGCCCGGGGAGACACTGAGCTGCCTCCACCGACTGCAGTGGGGACCTCCGAGTCACCTGGGTTCCCAGGACCCTAGAAAAAGATCGCAAATATGCCCCGGCTCACTGCTGCCGACGCCACGAGGGTTCAGCCACGATCGGCCAAACCCACGAGGCGTAGCAGAACAGCAAACACGCTGGCCCGGGGGCTGCAGGCCTGCAGAACTCACCTGAGCTCCACGAGGTCCCGGCCGCTGGCCCCGCCCCTGGCCCCGCCCCTTCCGGGTTCGTTCCGCGAGCCTCTTCCGCCCGGTGTTCCCTTTGCCTTCGAGGAGGAAGTGACGACAGAGCCGAGCTTTGATTGGGCAGCGGTGGCCTGGAGCGGAAGCCGTGCCAGGCAGCCCGGAGCTTCTGCGGCTGGTCACGCCAGCCTCCTGGGACCGAGTGCTCTTAACCTCTGCGCTCCTGGTGAGCGCTGTCTGTATTTGTCTCTCGACCGCCTTCTACCAGGAGTTTAACCCGCCCTACCGCCGCCCGGATGGGATCGCCAGAGCGCTGTGAGAGGCGGGACGGGCCCAGAGGGCGGGGCGGGGCGGGGCGGGGCGGGGATGCGGCCGGCGGCTCACGGGACCCGGCCCGGGCGCGGGACGGGCGGGTTGGGTCGCGCTGTCACTTTTCTGGGGAATGATTCCGCCGCCTCTCTCACGGCCGCTAATTGGGTTTTCGCGGAGGTGGCGTCGGGGTCGCAGTCTCCACGAGGAGAGCGAGGGTAAACAGACCCGGGAGCGGGGACCGTGGCCGTAGCCGCGGCGGTGCGCGTCCTGGGACGCGCTGGAAATGGGGCGGTCAGGACCCCGGCCCGCGGGAGCTGCGAGGCGGAGCCCGGCGCTGCGGCCCCTGGGCTGGGCGTTGCGCGCGCCCGGGGCGGCGCGGGTGGAAGTGGGTACGTGCAGAGCGCAGGATGCTGAGGTGTCGGGGTCCCTGCAGTCCCGGGGGTGACACTGGTTAGGCTTTGTGTTTCCGCTCTCAGGCGAGCAGAGAGGGAAGTGGCCGGGCTGAGGACTCCCCGTTTGCTGAGTGAAATCTTGGGTGGTTCTTTGGCGAGGTGGGAAGTCTTGCGGCTTTCCCTGGTTTTATTCTTGGGCTGCACAGAAATTTTAGAAATGAGTTTTGATATCTATAACTGTGCAAAATTAAAGCTGGCCGATAGCTATATAAAAAAGTGAGATCCGGCCCTATCACTGAACAAGACGTTTGCATTCAACTAACTTATCTGGCTTCTTGTTTCTCAGACCTGTTCAGCAAATCTTCCTTATTCAAGAAAATGGGATAGTAGATAATACTTAAGATGAAACTGTACACCTATATCAACATAGATGCTCTGAAACAAGATTACTGTAGCTTGGATGAAAGAAAAGGGACAAACTTGCAACAGATTTATTTCAAGAAGTCTGGTAGGGTGGGGAGCATTTGGATGCTTGTGTGAGGTCATTTCTTACAGTATTGTGCCTCCCCTTAGGGAGAAAATGTGGTTCAGTGAAAAATGTTTGCGTTGGTCAGATTCATGAAGCTCCTTGGAGTTATCTCATTCAAAGAAAGTTTTTTTAAAAAACTAAACTCTAACTGGCATCAATGATAAATAATTTTATTTCATGAACGTGGATTCTTTCCTGTCTCTTTCAAATTCAGTAGAAGTGATGCCTCCTTTTCCATACTCATTTCAAGATTCCTCATCTATTAATGTGTTTAATTGTGGAATTTACTTGCCATCTGCCTTTTTTTTTTTCCGGGGATGGGGGCGGAATTGAACTCAGGCCCTTGCGCTTGCCAGGGAAGCGCTTGTTCCACTGAGCCATCTCCCCTGCCCAGCCTTGTTTTTTGAAACAAAATTTTGAACACGTGTTCATTTTTGTATGTCATGATTTTACATTTTGTTAAAAAATTAATACAATTAAAAATTGTGGGAAGCAACAATGACAGATGGAAAAATGAGTTTAGTAAGGATTGGTAACAACTATAATGCATCTTATAAAATGTATTATGTATTGTTTCAAGGACCTAACCCTACTTTGTTTTAAATTGTTGAACATATGAAAATTTAGAATTGAAACACAATTTAGTTGATTTAAATGTAAACTGCTGTTTCACTATTTTATTGGCACTTATATTTTGGGTGGTTTTGAATGATGATGTCATACAGTTGGCCTGTGTTCATTGATGAGGTTTGGAAATATTTTTGTTATATTGTGTTTGAAGTTCAGATTTTAAAAAAATTATTTGTATTCATTCATGTTTGCAGTACGTAATTATTTGTATTCATTCATGTTTGCTTTCATCCTGCACATAGAGTTGGGAGTTGGTTCATGCACATAACTTTTTTTAAGGTCCACCTCTTCTCTCCCTCCACTATCCCTTCATCTCTTGGTAGTTCACAGATTTGAGCGCTTCAATTGGTTTCTTCATCTGAGCAACTTATAAAAAAATCACTTTCCATTTGTAGATAATGAATGATTCTTAAGTATTATAGATTTGGTATTGTAATGGGAGTGGTGTGTAGAAATACTCTAATATACCTTGAACTGTTAAATATTGAAAGACAAAGAGTGGTTAAACTGTAACTTACACAAAAAAGTGAAATACTCTAGAACTGGTAATGATTAGAGGTCAGCTCTATGGACCCACTCTTTTGTAGTTATATCCAGGCCTGTCCAGTCAGTGTAATGATTTTGAAAGACAGGTAAACAAGTTACTGCTCATTTTTCTCTTTTAAGTGATGTTACTTTCTCTTTATCCACACAGAAGATTTCTTAAGAGAGTGATCTAAGACCGTGATCAAAGACCTGGTTCTGGACAATCTTGAGTAATATAACCTGATCTCCTAGGCAATCACATAGCTATTTCACTAAGCTATCTCACCATCCCCTAGAGATCTTCTTAAACTAAAAAGTGACAGGATTTGGGGGAGGGGAAGGATGGAAGCAACAGTGTAGTAAAAAAGTAGTACATTTATTTATAATTGAATTGTAGAAAATACAAAGTAAATTCTTTTCTTTTCCATTAAGGAACAAAACTGTATGGCCAAAGAAATAGATCTGATCCATTCTAGAATCTTCTGTATGTCTACTGTTGACTTTTTGATCACAAGACATTAAAACTTTCCAGGAGTCTGTTTTAACAAGGCTTAGTGGTGGATTGCGAAGTTGTTCAAAGTACAGGTCTGGTCAGTTGATTTTCGGTGGGCAGACTTGCTTCCCTTTCCATTAGCCAAATTATTTACTATGGCTGTCAATTACTGTAGCCTCCTTCCCTCTCTTGAGCCTTGTTTGCATTCTCTCTTATTGGATCTTAATCTAAGTCTAGGAATCCTCTCACATTTATTTGTAAATCTGTGCTAGTGTGAACTTAGGCACCCACATTTTTGTAGGCAGCAGAGTGATGTGATTCTTAAAGGCCTATGACCTCGAGAATGTAAAAAGCCATTGTTTTAAGATCAGGTGTGCCTATCCAGTTTGGGTTTGCGCCTCCTTTTTAAAAAATTTAAGTTCAATAAATCTTAGTTTTTAAAATTTCTTTATGAATGTGTTTTTTCAATATGTAATGATCACATTCATTTGGAGGAATTGGTTTATGTATATAAGATCTTGTTAGATCATTTTCCATCCCTTTACAATCCCTCTCTACTTGTAGTCTCCCCCATCCCTTTCCCTAATTCCAGGAATCCGCTTCCTCCTTTTGCAACTGCCAAGGTATGTATTTCTATTGCAGGAGGGAATCTTTGTCTGGTGAGAAAAATCAGTTTCTGTTTAGAGACTGATCTGCAAAATATTTCGTCCTTTGTTAAATGCTAAGACACTGTCAGTAAAATGCCATTAAGTTTTTTTGTACAGTAAGAGCTATGAGCATGATTTATTACTCATTTAGCACTCATTGTCTTGTGGGTCACAGTGCTTTGAAGAGTAGGGAAGGTGATCTAACAAGCTGTATGACAAAGATATGATTGGAGATATAAAAACTAGGAGAATATACCTCAGAGAAGATAATAGACTTTCAAGGAGGCAATGGTCCGTTGTAAATGTGACTGAAATTTGACTAACTTCAGAAGTTAATACTGACCTTGGAAGAGCAGACTTAACATTAGTTGAGAGCTGAAGCAAAACTGCTGTTGATTAAATAAATGGAAGAGGAAGCAAAACTATAACAGATTATTGTTAAAGAATTCAATGGTGAAAGGAAGGAGTTTGATATTTTAGAGAAGAAATAGAATAGGAAACGTTTTGGAGACTAGGTGAAACAACTAGGAACTATAAAAAAACTGAAGAGAGAATTGATGCAGTTGTATTATTTTAAAAAAGCTGATCAAGTAGGATGGAGTAAAATAGTTAAATTTAGGTCATTTGCTGGGCTTAGACACAGAGAGTGTAGTCTAATCTCACTTGGAAGTTGAAAAGGGTGAATGAAGATAGATTTTTAACTGGAAGAAAGTCAACTAAACTATGCTTTGTCTCTTCTCAGAAAAGGAGAGAATGAGACTGGTACAGGTTTCAATACCAGCTCTTTCTTGATTTTGATCACAGCATCCTAGTTATGATTGTGTTTACTAATTATGTTTCCTAGAATGTTTCCTCAGGCTGCTTATTGAGCCTCTGAGTCTGTATGTCTTAAATGTGAAAGGAGTTCTAATCTCTACTCTTACAAGATTTTTATAAGGACTAGAGATCCTATTTGTAACAGAATAAATACCTAGAATCCCTGCACTTCACAGTGCTCTTTTTGGGCTCTTCTGGTGTCTTTTTCCACCTCCAGCCTCTCACATTTACATTGTGTGTAAATCTCTTCTGTTGCTTTTGATATTGACTGACTTTCTAGAAGAGAATCTCTGCTTTTCCAACCTAAATAAGTTCACTTTATATTTTTTAGCAGATTTATCAATACTTTATGTATTCTGTGATTATACATTGTGTGATTTTCATGGCTTCAACTCTTCCACTAGAGTGACTAAACAGTAACCAAGCACCTAACAATACTGAGTGAATGAATGCCTGGGATGATGTAAGCAAAAGCATTCATTTCTCATTTTCTAGATAGAGGTCAGGAATTCACAAGTGGCTTAGTTGTATGGCTGGGTCAGCTGGGTCTAAAGTCATTTTAAAACCAACTGAGGGAGGATCGTCTTCCACTGTGATTGGCTCACATGGTGGCAGTTGACACTGGTGGCCCTCTCCATGGCCACATGAGTGTCCTCACCAAGGGGCTAGCTTTTTTAGAGCAGTTTTAAGAAACAGTAAGGGAGAAGTCACAAAGTCTTTTATGACACGTTTTTGGAGGAGTCATACACCATTATTTCTGCAGAATCCAATTGGTTAATTAGGCTAACCGCATTCATTAAGAGGCAGCTGCACACAGCGAGGATGCCAAGAGTTGGTGTCACTGAAGGATGTCCTAGAGACTGCCTACCAAGAAACTTTGTGGTAAGGGCCGGCCAAATAGCTCAGTGGATTAAAGTTTCTGCAAGCAGGCGCAGGGGTGGTTGCTGTATCGCTGGGCCTGCCATGCCAGC